CTATAGAAGAAGAGGACATGCTGTGGCACCAGTAGTACCCATGAAAACAAAATTCGCTAGGAGGCAATTTAGAAGTCAGTCTGCTCATGTCTATAACTATTTTTATACTAATAAAAAACTTAACATATATGCAACGACCAAGCATAATGTGAAAAAACAACTTACAGCGTGGTTAAAGACGATAGAGTATGAAGAAACTGAAAATTTATTGAAATAAATAGAAAAATTACACCATAGCATAAATACTTTCCACAACATACGTACACGCAAGCGCACGCGCACGTGCACGCCGCGCACGCACGCACGCACGCACGCACGAACGCACGCACGCACTCACGCATGCATGCACGCACGCAAGCAAGCACGCACGAACGCACGCACGCACGCACGCACGCACGCACGCACGAACGAACGCACGCAAGCACGCACGCACACACGCACGCACACACGACAGCGTGCGCATGCGCGCGACCGCACGCACTTGGTTTAATCTTTACATATGCGCAATTTTATATGTATCTAAAATTGTTATGGAAGAGCGGGGTCCCCTAACACAGGTATTGATATACTTAAAAGGAGACCCCAGCCTAGTTAATGTATTTAAGATACTGAATAAAGAATTTTGAATTTTGAACAGCAATAGGACGGATACCGTTATCCTTTTTTTTGAAGGCACACAATCTTGCCCCATATAAGTAGGGAATGAAATTGGGATTGACATTACCAGAAAGCATAAAATTACATAATTTTGTAATGTCATTAAGAAGTACCCTACCGGTGTCACCGGCAGATACGCTTACAAGATCTTTGAGATGCTGAGGCGTAATCCCGTCAATGCCGCCGGCAGAGCCATTCGAAAATGACAATATTGCGTCTAAAGTGTCTTTTTCAGAAATTTATAAAGGTTGCATAGAAGTATTGGAGGCAGCGGTAAATTCTGGGAAGGATTGACCGAAGGATGTTTCTGACGAAGGCCTTCAAGAGTTTCGACATTACGAGGAGCGAGGATGTCACCTGAGAATAGAATACGGGATGCATTTTTTAAGTCGCCGTCCATTACTTTTGATTCAACTACTTTTTTAAATCAAATTTAGGATAAGGTCGAGAGAAATGAGTATTAATCGAGTAATCCAAATTTTGAAAAGAATTTTCTTTTAGTTTTATTAAAATGAAAATGTGAATACGCGAATGTAAATAATTTTTGCCAACTCTTTTCACAATTCGTTAGACAATTTTGAATAGTGAATGATAATGCTTTAGCAAGTTGCATCCTCGCACCTCTGGGAATTCTTTTAACCACTGGTACGTTACTATACAAATTGTATAATTGTTCCGAAAAAAGTGAAGAATTTGTGTCATTAGGTATATTACCAGAAGAGTCATGTATTTCTACGGTAGGCTGTGAAGCCGAAATACTTTTACTATGGCAACGTTTAATGTGTAAATTTAATCCCTTTTTACCTTTAAACAGCCTACCGTCGGTACAATTTTGACACCGTAGGAAATCCGGCAGTGAATGTATCGGAGCGATAATATTCATAGAAAAAGTAAAAAATGTAAAAATATATCTACATCACTTAAAAGTCTATAATTTAGTTTAAATCAAAATCTTGAAAATTAAAAGAAAAACCTAGTGCTCGAGCTTTGTTTATCGCCTTGAAGCAATCTAATATTAATATTGTGTACGATGAATCACCAGGCGTTGCATCTTGAAGTGACCTACAACCATAACCGCTTACAGTTGATGGTTTCAAAGCTTCCTTTGGTGACAATCTCAATAAAACGCTCAAGCGTCTCAATAAAAACGCGGCATTCGTTGTTTTCAGAAGAAGTGTAGTGAGCATTGATTTTGTTATTTTGACGTTGTTCTATTTTCTCATTTACTATTTCTTTAAAGTTCTTCCTGGCATTATTGTTGCAAAATAAAATATATTCTTGGTGTATTCGGCCATCGTTATTTAGCGTCGTCACTTCAGGCAAACGAACTTGTAAATATATTATCACATATTCATTAATGTTGAAATATATTATTTACACAAAACATTAATTTTCGGAATCTCAGGAATAAAATATAAATATATTTTAATTAAAATATTTGGTTAAAATATAATACAGTTGTCCATATATAACAGTTCGTCGCCTCAGTACTTGTTAGGCCAACAGACCATTTGGATAATTTTACAGGAGCAATGTTTTATTGTTTTTCTATGTTATGACTCAAATAAAGATGTAATGTTTGTTAGTTTTTAAAACTATGGCACATTTGGACTTCTAATAATCTGTAAAAATTAAAAACTTTTGACTATAACATTGTGTAAAACCGGTTTCAAAATGGATATTGGACAAAAAAACGAAACTATAATTACGTTATTGGATATACACTACATTCCTTAGGATGTTAGCCAAATAGCAACCAAAAGTATTTTGTGCTTGTTTGCCCTATAGCGGTATAGCCTCAATTCACAGTACAGGCTGTGAAAACAAATCCAGTGCGCATCATTATTGTATGTAAAATTATCTATACATATATATATTATATATATATATATATATATATATATTTTTTATTATATATATATATATATTGTAAAATTAATAAATGAATTACTTTTTTTTTATCTCTTGACTACGGGTCTTATCAAACAGGCCTGAATTAAAAATAAATTTTGTATTTATAGATATACTACCATGCCCTGCGGTTTCACTCGCGTTTAATTTTAACGATATCATTACAAACGAACCAAACAAATAAACCAGACTAAAATCGTACAACGCCTACAAATCCCTAAAACCCCTCCTTACAACTATAAACCCCTCAAGAAGAAACAAACACTTACGAATTCCAACAAACCCCCTACAAACCCTTACTAACCTCTTTAACCCCGAAGAAACCGAACAAACAAACAAGTGCATAGTTCCTGTGGGAATTTTATTTTAATAGAGTTGATTGTAAACATGAAAATTGCTGACGCACAAAATTTTAAGTATGTGATTATTAAAAATAAAATAAGTAAGAGAACCGAAAGTTATTTATTCAAAAATCAAATCAAGTACAAGGTCGTTTACACGCTAGGTTAATATTAAAGAAAGAAAGTAGGAAAAAAAATTATACTTTTATAATACTTGTTATTTTATCTTTCCTGATTTTCCGATTTTACCATTTTTTTCTTGTTTTTCCGCTATTTCCTGCTTTTCCTGTGTATCCTTCTTTTTCTGACTTTCCTACTCTACCCGTTATTTCAGATTTTTTAGTAGTTCCTACTTTTTGTGTCTTACCTGCTTTTCCTATATTTCTTTCTCTCCCCGTCTTACCTACCCTTCCTGTATTTCCTAAATTACTTGTATTTCCATCTTTTTCTGTCTTCCCTGATTGCTTTCTGGCTTTTCTTCCTTTCTCTGTCTTTCCTGAACGAGTGGCTTCCTCAAGGCTTTTAGTATTATGGTCTCCATATATTTTTATCCTCGTCTGGCATATATTTGTATGAGATACGTATGTCTTGAATTTTTTTTGTGTCAATGTACTTGTTGGTGTCTTGACGGTTACATCACTTAAGATATGAATATTTTTTTATTGATGTTTACGGACATTGTGGGCCCTTGGAAACTGGTTTTGTATTGCAATATATTCCATTTATATTTATTGTAAGTAATGGTCTTTACTTTCGAGAATGGTATTTGGTTAAATCCATACTTAACAGCTTCTTCGTGGTAACAGTGGAAGTCGTCATCGACCATCTGGAGGAACTTAAATGTTAGAGCCTATGATTTAATTTTTAAAAATGCTCTCATTAATGACAATGGGCTGAATATTTCTTGATGCCGAAGATTTCGTTTAATTAGACTGTGTACTGCATCGACCTCCTGCACATTTCCATGACCTGGTTCGGAAAATTTTTGGGTTATTTCGGTTACCTGTTTGGCTTCTGGTGACTGTAAAAATTTCATTATGGTAACACTCATATGTGAGTTTCTGTTCTGGGGCACGCATGAGTCGGACCATAAGATGAGCTTGATTACTGTGATATGTAAGCTATCCACTATGAATTTAAGAATTTTAACTGACGCACTTGCGAGGTCATCACCGCTTCTTCCGTTTTTGGTCTCGTCCCATATTGCGTTAGTTGCAGATTTGTTCAAATTGCAGTGGGCAAATTGTAGACTGTTAACTTACTCTTGTAATAAAAACAGGACACGTTGGCTTTTGGAAGAGAAAAAATGTTTTGTAAATCAAAAGTGACAACAGCTGTTGTCTCATTTATTTTTCTGTCCTTAATCTTTCTCCATTGCCCTCCTCTTTTCTTCGTATTTGTTCGCAGTGTTTCATCGTTTGTTCATCATTAGGAATTTTGATCGCCCTGAATTCAGAACACGCCTCGCAGGCGTCTTTTTTTGGGTGATGGAATGCTATATTAAATTTTTTCCTGTAAATGTTTTCTTTTACCGGTTCTTTCGTCAACTCTACATAAAATGAATACATTTTGGAGAATGATAGATTTTTGTCGAGGTACTGTCGTTTTGTGTTAGATCGACAAAAATGTGATTCTTGTGTGGAAAAGGACTTTATTACTTCTTCTATTTTGTTTTCGGCGGTTTGCTTTTTTATGTATTTCCTTTAGAAGGTGTGGGAATCAATTTAAATAAAAAAAATAAATAAATAATATAAATAAATAATAGAATCTTTTTGCTGATATATCCAAAGTACCACAAAAAAACTTCTGAAACACCTTAACTTTTTGTTCATTTTTCAAAAAGAAGTATTGAAATGAGAACTTTCTTCGGCTTTCTTCTGCTTCTGTTCTTTTCCTTTCTGACCGTACCCTACATGTAAATTCATTGTAATATTTGTTTTTCTGGGCATCGTTTAATGAGTAAAATGCCTTTTTCAAGTCCTCTCTTTCTTGTTCCGAAAATTTAGCTGAGCAGTTGTATGCGCACTTTTCGTCACATCCAACGTGAACCTGTTTTGCTGGACATTTTTCCCTTTAATATTAACATATTCTTCACCAGCTTCTCTTTTTTTTCCTCGCAATTCTCTGCCAATTTTCAGGGCACCTTTTTCTCTTTCTTGATGTTTTTTTTTCTACGTCTGCAGCGTCATCATCGTTACTATCTATCAATATGATAGAACTTTCTAGTTCTAGTTCTGAACTATCAGGGTAAACAATGTAATTTTTTACCGATGTTATAGCGCGTTTTTCGGTTAATGTTTGTTTGCCTTCTTCTTCACAATTTAGAGCATGTCCGTTGCCGTTGCTACAAACAATGACATTTTCTGCGCAGTCCGCGGTAAGTATTTTGTCACCTTCTTCAAAGTTTTCGGTCTCCTTACAGGCCATGAATAACTTCTTCTTTACTTTGTCAATCCTGAAAAATAAATTTATAGTTTTTATTATTTGAAATTTATGCTAAAGTTTAAGTAACATTTTAAGATTCTTTGAATAGTTATTTTTACCTTAATAATAATATAAATATGAAAGTTTGTGAGGATAGATAGATGGATGCTTATTACACTGTCACGCAAAATCTACTGAAAGGATTTGAATGTAATTTTGCACCCGGATGGCTTATATCATAACACATAAGCTACTTTTTCTCGAAAAATCCACGAAAACAGGAACTATGCGGGTGAAACCGCAAGGCGCAACTAGTACTTTATATTTTATCTACCCATATTTTTTCAATTATCAACCTACGGTTCTTTTTTATTTTAACCGACTTCTAAAATGGAAGAGGCTATGTATTCGATGCGTATTTTTCGTTTACCCGTAAGTAATTCTATAGAATTACTTACGGGTAAACAAAAGAATCACAATAACAATATATTGTTATTGTGATTCCTTTGTCAAATAAATTATTTTGTATTTGTATGTTTTTGTATTACTAGTGGTGCCCCGCTATTTCACCCGCGTAAGTCCCGTTCCTGGACACTGGAGCAAAAAATTGCCTTTGTTCTTATTCAGGGTCACATCTATCTATGTAGCCAATTTTATCAAAATTGGTTCAGCGGTTTAGGCGTGAAAGCTTAACAAACAAATAAACAATTGGTAAGTACATGAATTCATTCTAAATGAATATTGTATAATAAAATAAAATCATTTTTATATATTATATGAACATGACTGGCACCCCACAGTTACAATCGTTTCAATTCCAATTTTCGTTTTAATTATACGAATATAAACGAAAATTAAAAAAACAAATCAAACAAACCAGACTAAACAAATGCGTAGTTTCCGTTACATGAGAGAAATAAAAATTCCCAATGAAAAAGGATATCCTAAATTATTTAGGATTAAATTAACTATATATACGTGAAAATCCCGTACAAATCAGTCCAGCCGGTCCAAAGATTCGCCCCTTTGAAAAAACAAACAAACAGTTGTTCAGCGTTGTGAGTATGGCAGTATGACAAAAGTATGATTCAGAACCAACCTGTATAACAAACACAACATGACATAAATAATACCACATTGATCAAAATCAACTTACATTTCATAATTTGCAGTGCTGCGGTTATACCGTTTATTACAACTGGTCCACGACATAATTTTTAAAGTAATTGACTTTGCACCTCGATTCACTTGTAAATTCACTGAAAAACTTAATAAATCTTGCAGTTATAACACCGTTACGCATCGCGATAGATTGTAACTAAACAATATGGCGGAACAGCTAAGTGTGATGTCACGAGCTAGCGGGCCTGTGGTTGGTTGATTTGAGGATATACGGCAAACAAGCACGAGCTGAGAATTTCGATATTGGAATGTTGGTTCATCTGAGGCGGTAAGACATACAAGCACGAAAATTAAAATTGTAACTGTGGATATTGGTTTTTTAATATCTTTTTTACTCGTTTATGGGTATAGATACACGAGTCATTCTTGATTTATACTGTGTAGAAATTGATTCTTAAGCATACTACATTCAAAGGTCATTTTCATCTAAATTAGTCTGTTGGCCAAACAAGCACTGAGGCGACGAGTTGTTTATATGAAATGATTAATATGAAAGACTTGTGTTATGTGGCAGAGACAAAAACTCTTTTAAAAATAAATTTATTTAATATATTTAACTATAATACAAACTAACTTAAAATATAGAAGTTGAGTCAGAGAGTTTGGAAATAGAATTGTGTTGTGGGATTTTTTTTTTGCGCCCGAAGCAAATATGGGCAACCCTCCGGAAAGCGGGTGAGGGAGGTTGAGAATGCTCATAGCATACCACGCAGCCGGCTGCGTGGTTATGTGGAGACTTTTACCCACTAAACTCAACCTTTTAGGAATTGGCTTAACGATCTGACTAGAGATCTCTAAGCCGTATACGAACGCGACCCTCCTTGGCAGAAAGGAGGGCGCGTGTTGTGGGCACAGAACACTATTACTCCTATCGGAGAAGAACGACAACTTCATACAAAATTTAAGAAATGAGATATATATAACCACTAGCGCCATCTATCGTCAGCCTCCTGCACTTCTCGTGTGGCGGGAAAATTTGAATGTGGTCTTTTTTTTTTATTTGAGGTATTTTTGGGTTTCCTATCCCAGCGCTAAATAAAAGAACAAAAATTACAAAATTTCTATTTATTTATTCAAAATAAAAATACAAATTGAAATAAAAAACATACATAACTTAAGAAACAATTTCTCCAGCAGCTTAGTTCTTTCTATAAAGACATTTGATGGGTTTAAACATGAAAAGAAAATCAATAATGATTACAACATTTCAATTACTTAAGTAAACAATGATAAACAATATATATAAGATTTACAATCATGGATGAATTGACAATATGCACAATCACAAATCACAGAATGTCTACAATAACCAAAATATCAATATTTTAATCAAAAACAAGTTAATTAATAAATAAGCTCCTACACATAAGTGCAAAGTGCAACATTCACAAATAATAATTGTGTTTTGATAATATTTGGTTGTCTATCTATTTCCCTGAATTGATACTAAATATTTTGTCTCTATATTATATGCAATATATTAAGTATTGAATGCAGCTTATAAATAGAATAATTTTAATTCAAAATTATAAAACATATTAAATATTAGATTACAAAAATATTCCTTATTTCATTTTAAAAAATTTCATATAGAGATATACATACTTTCTTTTTCAGGTTAAACATTATGTGTTATGCTTTGATGTTTGTGGTTGTTCTTAACTATATACATACCATATTACCATATACATTATACACTTTACTTACATCACATGGGACTGCAGTGCTTAAGAGCTTTTTCTTGGTTGCATCATTAAATTAACCATCATGAAAATGTTTTTCACACAGCATTCTGGGCTTATTACGTAGCATTGGAAAGCTAAAGTAGTATACTGCTCTTGGGAAGGAATATAATATTTCGCCCATAATTTACAACTGAAAACAAAAGATATAATTATTAAATACAAATATTATCAAAGTAGGTTAAAAACAAATTAATGGTTTACAAACCAATAATTTGTTTTTAAATGGTAAAAGAGAAACAATAAGTTGGACAAGAGATTTACTTTAAGGTTAGAACTTATTAAATAGTGTATATGTATATCGTATACGTACCGCAAAATATACTTTACTGCGAATTTCGGAAACCTAAATAATTTAACGTAGTCAATGGTTGGTATGCTGTTGCACTTAGAACACTTTTTTCTATTTTCTTTATCCGCCATTGCAGCGTAGTTTTTAAGAGTCACTATTTCGTATTTCACTACGATTCATTGACTAACACATTGCACATCATATAAATGAAGGACATTAATCTCAACTCAACATCGTAAACTTGCAAGATCTTAGTAAAAAACACAAGCAAAACAAACATAACAACCAATCATGAACAACAATAATTTATACGGCGACGCCATATTATGAGAAAAGAGAAATATATACTCATTTAGGTATTTGGTGTTACCAGTAAAAAATATAATTTTCTACTCATTGAAAATCAAAACAAAAAAGAAAACATTTATTTTTCTTTTACTGTCAAGGATATGCTAATATAATAATGTAGAAAAATACGACAGGCATAGTTATCTTCCTATTGATTGTTATTTCTGTATTCAAAATTTTTGAGTGTAATTTATCTTTAGCAAAATCTTACTAATTATGAAACAAGACATTTATCTGACAAATGGCAATAATAAAATTCAGCCCCCGTAGGTATTTCATTCTGTCCATACAGAGTTGACCGGGCCTGGTTGTGGGATCGAAGGACTTGGGTTATATAGTGTAGGATCGTGGGAAGCTAGGAGGTAGGGGTAAAGGGAAGTATAAGGGAATAACATTATGCTTGTTTGTGTTTATCGTTAACTTATTCTAAGATACAATTAAGAAAGGTAAACTTTGGAACAGTAAACATTAGTATTTAAATATTACAATCTAATTAGTTTGGTTTCTAGGTAAACAATGTAATTTAGTTTTAAAGTAAATAAGTAATATAAGAATAACAATATAGGAGTATAGAGGACTTATAATATAAAGTAAATAGTATATAACACAATAATAGAACCTATAACATAACACCTCCCCCCTTAGAACAAAGATTGAGCGGTTTTGCTCGATTTTTGAATGTAGTCAGCAGCTTCGTCTTCGTCTTCTGATATGCAGTATGTTATAGCAGTGGTGTTTATCGATGACATGGGAACTTCGACGTGTTGTTGGCGACGAGAACGGTCAAAGCAGTTATTAAAAATTTGTATACAGTTGCCATGTGGATTTATGGGCATGTTATTCCATGGCAAGCACTTGTAACATTTGTAACAAAAATATGTTAGCATAATGATGCCAGTAATCATACCAAATATGGAAAATTTTGTTGTATGTTTTTCTGAGAATGTAGATTTACTTTCTTAAAGTAATTTTTTATGTATTTTTATTTGGTCTCTAACCGAGTTAAGAGAGTCGAGTTGGATGTTGTTGAGTTGGATTGGTGCAAGTTCTGGTTGTTGTAATTTAATTTCTTCTGGGAGGCAAATGTGTTCAATATCCACAGAAATAAAAGGATGACTGATGTTGATCGTTTTAGTGTCTTCAGCTAGGAGTGTAACAAACGCGGTGTACATTTTACATCCTTGTTCTAGAGTGATGATACCTGCTCCAGAGATTTCGCCGTGAGTTGTTTTGCTTTCGCACTCTAAAGCATACGGAGTCTTGCGTTGGAGTATGTAGAGCCACTTGTTGTTTCTAAGAGCATGAAAAGTATTGATATGTGCTGAAAATGTAGTGATATCACAAGCTTCAGGAACTTGTCGACTCGTTGTTGTTAGGATGACAACTTCGTATATAGGTCTGGTGTTGATGTTGTAGATGAGAAGATCCCTGCAGACTTTGGATTCCGTTGCAAAGTCTTTGCATTTGTCCAGTGAGCTCATAACGACGTATTGCTGTCTAGTGGTACTCATGGCAAGGTATGTTTGTTGGGGAAGGATAGTGGAATATAAGGAGTCAGGATGTAGCGTAGGGATAGAATATAAATGGTATAATATAAATGTTTCGTTTTTAACTAAAGGGAATTCTAAGATATATATAATTTTATTCATATAAATATAGGAAGTAATAGAGGCAGATTCGAGAATTTTGTGTATATTAGGTAATGTTATTGGGGCAACTAAGTTTTTATTGAGCTTAGCGGGATTAGAAGACAGTAATTCTTTGTATAGGCGCATAGTTGATATTATTGACGGGTGTATTGCATTCGATTTAATAAAAAGTATACTTGTGATGACATCGTCAATATCTCGTTCTAAAGAAACTATGGCTTCAAGAATTTGAATTGAAACGGTCGATATTTCTTCAAGAATAATGTAATTTTGTTTGTCGAGGTGAAATATGAATTTATTTTGCTATGTTTAATTTCATAAATGAAGTATAGAAGTATAGAAGAATAATAACGCTAGGTAGATTTGAATGTGTCGCAATGAGAGAATGATAGCCATTTGTAAGATTATAGAAAGTCGTTTGATAGAGTTGTGAGCTAGGAATAAAAGAAATTTCAAATATCAGTATTACAAAATAATTTTAGAAATAGAATAGAGTAAATAAATTTATGTGGGTATCCCTATTAACAATAGTTGTGGAATACCTGGTAATTAAAAATAAACCTAAATAATTGTTTTAATTTATTTTAAGCTTAGTAGTATAATAATTATTTGAAGATACGTAAACTTTGTATAAAAGGATATAAGTAATAATTTTATAATAAAACAAATTGTAAAATTAATGTATGTGTTGTTTATAAAATATAAAAGATTTTAATTCAAACTAAGGGTGTTTTGTAACGTGTGCATTTGAGCCACCTGCTCAAAATAAAGTTAAATATTTATGAATAATTACGATCTAGTCTTAGAGTAAATGTTATGATGATGAAGTGAAGTCATGCAATGGTCTTAAACGATTCGCATGTACTAACTGGTTTTTTCCAGATTTTTGTATAACATAATTTTCATTAAAACTGTTTAGGAATTTGAACAAACAAGTTTTGCCACTTACCACAATAACAATAAAATATGGAGCTGCATGGTTCGGCGAAGTTCTTTAAA